TTTTCTCGTGATCTCGACATAACAAAAGTTTTCTTCTCGTTATCACGACTTATTTTTCTCGTGATCTCAACATAGCAAAAGTTGTTTTCTCGTGATCTCTAAGTTGCACAACTGCGCCAACAGGTGGCAGTATAGAACTATTGATGGGGAGTTGTATACAATATCCACTATACTGTACGCGTTTGGGACAGAGGACCTTCTTCCTGATCGCTATAATTTGTGTAGTTCATTACTGACATTTAATTAACTTATAAATGTTAAATGCTTGAATAAATATGATCATTTTGCTTGAAATTGTATCTGTTATCTTACGTTATTACTGCTGCACGACTCATCACAGTTTCTCATTTACAACGACATTGTAATGTGCATCTTTCTTATTTTTAATCTTTATCGTTAATAAATGTATATTAATAAGAAATGTGATTTACATATGTGTATAATTTAGTTCAATGATGTTATGCAGTGTTGTGGCCTAATCTTTTATATTTTCTAAATTTCTTTGTAAAACGCACACACATAACCACATCAAAATAAGCACAACAAAATATCAAAACAATGATGATTTAACATACTTTAAATGAAAACTTTTAATTTGACATCACAAAGTGCACCTTTTAAAAGTGTACTTAAGTGTGTTAAGACATGGTTATTAAATTGTATTCCCTTTAAGGACACTTAAATGGCCTTTTATTTTATTAACATTTGATTATGCAAGTACATTTAAAAAAAAACACTTTTAACACTTTTACAAGTGCATTGAACACTGTTAAATGCTCTTTTTTGTGCGTGTTTTACAGTATTCAGTGTGTGTTTTGTATCATGCTATATTCTGTTATGTTGTATGTTTTGTGTTGTACTGTATTGTGTCATATGTGTTGTTTGGTGTTTTGGCTACCTGAGTCGAGGCTCTTGAGGAGTCTATAGAAGTTGGGGAAGAACTGAAGGTCCTGCAGTCCATCTTCAGGGTTCAGTTCGTTTCTGTCGTTCCCATCGCTCACGGCGTCCCATGAGTCTTCAGCCCTCACTGTGTCATCTCTAATCTCCTCCTCCTGTTCTTCATCACCATTATCATCATCACCACCATTATCATCATCACCTTCATCCTCGTCATCATATCGTTGACTGGGCCTGTCTTCCTCATCCTGAAGAGAAGAATCCAAGCAAATAGAGAGTTTTTTTTGTGGATAAATATGCAGTTGGTAGAAACACTACAGACACACAGTCACACACTCGTACCATATTGTTTTGTGTGTCTTTCACAGAATTAACAGGGTAGTCCATACTGAGGTCTCCAATCATGTTATCTTTGGCATTTTTGGTGATCAGATCCTGCAGGGCTTCAGCAACTTCATACTCCAGTGTCTCTGCCTGACTGTCTGTGATCTGAAGGTCAAACAAAAGAACACAACACCTGCTAGAACAATCAGTTCACAAAGGTATTATTGTATGACAATCTTTTTTCCATGCTATTTAAGCTGGTTAAACTGGAATATGTTTCCCTAGAGGAATTAATACATTATGTATGATGTTTATTGCATGGCTCGTCAATATGGCAGCTATCAGAATCACTGCGCACGCCACAATTTGAATCTCTTACTAGACCCAGCTTGAGCAGTTTAGACACAATTCTGTCAAATACTCCTCGGTCATCCTCTTCGTAGATTTTGTTGGCGATTTTCTGGACAATGTCATGAGCTGTTAGAGGGGTCCCGTCCAGCTGCCGAAAACTTTCAGGATCATCTGAAAAGGAACACATTAAAATACTTCACATCCCTCCGAGGAGGATAACTTTAAATATAGAGTTTTAATAATTGTTCTAATTCTATGAGAATAGGGACGTCCAAACCACAACTATAATGATAACAAAATCACTTTTAGATACATTTTTTTTTCTTAGCTGATAAATAACAAAAAAATGTTGAGAGCCAATCAGAATCACCTGATTTTAAAGCGCTTGAGCATTTAAAGCAGCAGGTTGTGCTTATAATAAACAAATATTAAAATATTATCTGTTGGTGTGGATGCTTTTTTTGTTATAGTTATCGTTCCAGTTTCTTACATAACTGTACTGTATCCACTTTTTTTTTTAAATAAATAAATAATTCTACCTGGTCTCGTGGCAAAAACGTACCTGGGGGGACTCTTTTGCGAGACGCGAAATACATATCAATAAGTACATATCACTGCAGTTTCCAAAAGAAATGAACACTAGAGGCAGTACAACTCCGATACCTTTTATTCCTTTTCACACAAATTTACAGTTTCGATTAATAATTAATTTTCGCACAATTACTTGAAGAATATTATTTTATGACTAGGATATTTAAAAAAATTATGCTTTTGAATGTTAGCATCGCACATATCCAACTTCATATATATGGGTTTTCATAGAAGGTAGGTTTGTTCAGTTGCTTACGGAGTACGGCGACATAACGTACTTGAGAGGGGAGGAGCTCCAGTTCGAATCCCGTGTAACTACGGTTCGACAAAACAGTTTAAATCTTCATATAAGGAAGTTTAAATGGCACGGTTGCATCAACAAATGCGTTTTTATATCAGTTTTGAATTTGTTAACACTATCGGATAGGTTTAGGGTTGGGTTTGGCATATTTCCAACACGGTAGAGCAGTAACTTTTAGCGACAGTCCCCGGATATTTGAATTCTGAACCGCCGCAATACGTACCTGAAGCAACGTAATAAAAACACAGCAATACCTAGCTATATCAACGTAATAAAAATGTGCCAGTGTTCACGTATTGAACCCGTGTTTTAGCACTACTCAGTGGACATTTCGTGCAGTAACGTACGTAAAAACGGTGTTGCAAAAAAGTACCCAGAGGTATGTATTTTTATGAGACCAGGTTGAAATAATTAAGTTCGAAATGAATCAATATTTCACGTCCATTTATTTAACAAGCATTTCGCCTCTGGGTTCTGATTACCTTGTTAAGTTTATTTTACAATAATCTATCCCTTACTTATTTTGGATAATAATCAGGAGCATTTCTAGCCTTTCATCTGCATTGGGGAATGGATATAACTTGATTATAAATGAACTGCTGATGGACTGTAGGTAGCGGAATATCCACCTTATCCAACATTTTTGGGTGTCTTTTTCTGTGCCATAGGTTTAGTTTCTAGTAGTTTAAATCTTCATATAAGGAAGTTTAAATGGCACGGTTGCATCAACAAATGCGTTTTTATATCAGTTTTGAATTTGTTAACACTATCGGATAGGTTTAGGGTTGGGTTTGGCATATTTCCAACACGGTAGAGCAGTAACTTTTAGCGACAGTCCCCGGATATTTGAATTCTGAACCGCCGCAATACGTACCTGAAGCAACGTAATAAAAACACAGCAATACCTAGCTATATCAACGTAATAAAAATGTGCCAGTGTTCACGTATTGAACCCGTGTTTTAGACCAGGTTGAAATAATTAAGTTCGAAATGAATCAATATTTCACGTCCATTTATTTAACAAGCATTTCGCCTCTGGGTTCTGATTACCTTGTTAAGTTTATTTTACAATAATCTATCCCTTACTTATTTTGGATAATAATCAGGAGCATTTCTAGCCTTTCATCTGCATTGGGGAATGGATATAACTTGATTATAAATGAACTGCTGATGGACTGTAGGTAGCGGAATATCCACCTTATCCAACATTTTTGGGTGTCTTTTTCTGTGCCATAGGTTTAGTTTCTAGTGGGCTCACTACTCAGTGGACATTTCGTGCAGTAACGTACGTAAAAACGGTGTTGCAAAAAAGTACCCAGAGGTATGTATTTTTATGAGACCAGGTTGAAATAATTAAGTTCGAAATGAATCAATATTTCACGTCCATTTATTTAACAAGCATTTCGCCTCTGGGTTCTGATTACCTTGTTAAGTTTATTTTACAATAATCTATCCCTTACTTATTCTGGATAATAATCAGGAGCATTTCTAGCCTTTCATCTGCATTGGGGAATGGATATAACTTGATTATAAATGAACTGCTGATGGACTGTATGTAGCGGAATATCCACCTTATCCAACATTTTTGGGTGTCTTTTTCTGTGCCATAGGTTTAGTTTCTAGTGGGCTGTATTTGATATTGCTTTGCCAGAAGCCTACAAGCTCAAAGCTCTTAAAAAGCGAAATTAAGTAGGAGGAGAATGTGTGAAACAGAGATCTGAACGTTGGAGCTGAAATCTGCCAGCAATTCTTGTCTGTCTGTAACCCAGTGAAATCACACAAAAACACCTCCCACTCTGTTATCTGCCATTATCTACCACATAGATCGACTTACACTGCCTTAACGCTTCCAGTAAACTCACCATCTGCCTGAAACGTGACACTGATCAAACGTCTGACGCTCATTCTGAGTCAGAGGTCTTAGGTGGTCTGAGTGCCTTTATGACATGACGGTGTCATAAAAAAAAACTTAAAGCGGTCATATTATAAGTTAATTGAGCTGCAAAAACTGCTTTTCCTTGGATAGCTGACATCAGGCATACATGAACACGTGACTGCCCACATCTATTCTGTGTTCAGAAACATGGTCCACCCAGTCTTGGTGAGGTAAAAAGAAGGACATAGAACAGGTATTCCTATTCCTAAACCCCATAAGAGCTAACAAGTAAAATGTGGTGAAGTCTGATTAGCACCTACAGCTCTGCAGAGCCTTTGTGATTTTGCGATTTTATTAAGAATCATAAATCACAATACATCACAATGTAACAGTGGATATGCAAAGAGGTTGTTATTGAAGGAAGACAACATATATTTACAAAACTACTGTATAACTGACCCAGCAGTAAACTGGTAGCCCATATGCAATAATAGTTTCACAATAGTTGGTTAGCCAATCATAACACAGGGCATACTTAAAATGCACAACGACTGCATATTTAATTGTAAGAGTCATAAAGTAGAAAATGAAACATGAAAAAAAAAAAATAAACAGTTGATTTTCATCCAAGAAATATCATAGGGTCGGGGAAAAATGGTAAAAGGAATAATGACATGACCTCTATGAGCTATTGTGCTATTATTAGAAGGGTTTTTAATGTGGGTGTATGTTTAGTCTGACTGCCCTGTTGTAGGGGACTGTGGGCTTTAATGCTACTGTATAAAACCTCCAGTACAGCAGCCTGTGGAGCGATAATCCTCTGATTCTCTCTCTCCTTCTCTCTCTCACTCTGTCTCTTTATCTCTACAAAATACCTCCTGATTGACCCATGGTGTCTGCCACCTGTTCCTGTATTTAGGATCACATACAGTCAAAGGGATGGATTAGCACTTTCAAAGTGGGAGATAATTAGGCTTAAGTCACAACTAAGAAAAATTTTCATTGATCTTTTACGCTTTCCTGAGGCTGGCTATTTTACTATTTAGAATCCACAATGTCCTGGCACAGAAAATAGTTAAATGGAATAATAACACAGTAAAATACATACTAAATGATAAGTGAAACAGCATGCAATTATAAAAGGACATAAATATGGTTACATTTTTATTTGACAATGACTTAAATGTCTTGACTTTTTTTTTTTTGTCAAATAGTCATATCAAAATGGGCATAAATAAAATACAGATGCAAAAAATTACATCTGGTTCATTCGTTAGACTGGAAACAGCAAGCTCATTGCATTGTGTACAGTCAGTGAAAGTGCAAACAACATACTTTGCAAAGTACACATACTACATAATGTGCTCTTCTGAATAAGGCTTTGCCAGCTTGGTAGTTGCAGTTCTTACCTTGGTATTTGTAGTCCATTCCATTCTTAGTAGAGTCATAATCATCGGCCAGTCTTCTGTTTTTGGTAGTGTCGGCCTCATCAGTACCGTATCGCTCATCCACAGAATCTGAGATGGGAGTCTCATTGTTTGACTCTTTGGACTTCTCAGCCAGAGACTTAAGGAAAGTGATGTCTTCATCCTCAGATTTTGACTCTGCCTCAGCTGGTGGCGTTGGCTTGGGTTCTGCATGGATGAACAGAAAACACTTGTGAGCTATTGATCACTGTGAAGCACTATGTCTGCATAAGATTATTCCTCACCTGCCTTCTTGATGCTGTCAGCTTCTGCAATCTGTTGGGGAAAAATAAATATAAGCACAGTCTTGACATTTACAGAAATTTGAATTTAAATATATTTGAAGTTAATGCATAAAACATCTATACCCGGTCAGAATCAAGGGTAGTACAACAGTACAACAGTAGTTGTGTCTGATGCAGATGTACAAAGTATATTTGTGTCTTTTACATAACATAGAAATTAACAATAAGTTCATATTTCTGAAATCACACCTGCTGTTCTAATGGCTTCTCTTCAGTCAGCTCTCGGTTATACATGCTCTTATCTGGAACAGGAAAGAAACACACAAACACATTTAATATAGGCAAAGATTACTGATGGTACAATAGATCAGTCATTGCAGACCTTAAAGAGACACCCAAAAACTGAATTTATTTTTGTGTTGCACAGAAGAAAGAAAGTCATTTCATTTAGAACAACGTGAGGGTGAGTAAATGATTACAGAATTTAAATGTCTGGATGAACTATGCCTTTAATACGCTCACACCGGATAACAAAAACACTATGACCAGGAGGACAATGAGAAAAAAAAAATCTGCAGTATCACTACAGTATCATGGCTCAGACTACTATTGATTGGTTATTACATTGTAATTATAATGTAAAGACTTTGTAACAACATAAATGAGTTTTTGCACCTACACTCTTAAAAATAAAGGTGCTTCACGATGCCATAGGATAACCTTTTTGTCTAAATGGTTCCATAAAGAACCTTTAACATCTGAAGAACCTTTCTGTTTCACAAAAGGTTCTTTAGGGCGAAAAAAGGTTATTCAGATTATAAAAAGGTAAGAAAGAGATGGTTCTTTAAAGAACCTTTGACTGAATGGTTCTTTGTGGAACCAAAAATGGTTCTTCTATGACATCGCTTGAAGAACCTTTTGAAGCACCTTTATTTTTAAGAGTGTATGTTGTATGAATCGACTATCATTTTAAAGGAATCAAGACACTATACATTTACACAAGACTATTTTTACCCTAAAGAAATAGTTATTAATATGCATTTTCTTCAATCTGTCTATGGTTGTTGAGATCTTTGATGCATTCAGTTGCAGTCCAAGCGGTCCAAGAGAAGCTGCCACGGAATAATCGGATTACAGGACAAAAGATTACAGGCCTCTGAAAACTGAGGCTAGAGCTTCCTATACAATAAATGATGAAAACAACAAACAAACAAACAAAATTTTTAAGAGTGTAGGTTGTATGAATCGACTATAATTTTAAAGGAATCAAGACACTCTACATTTACACAAGACTATTTTTACCCTAAAGAAATAGTTATTAATATGCATTTTCTTCAATCTGTCTATGGTTGTTGAGATCTTTGATGCATTCAGTTGCAGTCCAAGCGGTCCAAGAGAAGCTGCCACGGAATAATCGGATTACAGGACAAAAGATTACAGGCCTCTGAAAACTGAGGCTAGAGCTTCCTATACAATACATGACGAAAACAACAAACAAACAAACAAACAAACAAAATAAACCATCCAATTAATTCACCTTCTTCCCATATTTATATGGAGTTATAAGCCAATATAGGGTTTTCAATGATTAATATATACTGATGGCCAACATAATCCATATATACACATTACAGCCTATGTAAAATACAACTTAATACATATGTAATTGTTGAAATTAAACAGAGATCCTAACATTTACTTCCATTTGAAAGCACAGCATGTGCACGCTGAAGTCCAGACATGTTATTAATGAGTCAGTTGGACGCTGTCCTAAATATCAAAATATCAAAATATCGTCAGATTAATTTAACGTGGCCTATATATTAATCTATACATGAAGCAATTTTTTTGTTTTATTACACATCATGCATGTTTTGTGTGTTCCACTCAGTCGGATTCTAATATATTGGACCGATGTGTTGGATTATAGGCTTGTTGGTTATTCAGTAACTCACCGTCGGGTCCGGCAGGTGTGGGAAACGCGCTGATCTGCGCTATCACAGCAAGGACAACCACCATCCCTACGCGTTTTGACGCCATCCTTCAGCTGGGGTTCAGATGTTTTCTCTCTCGCTCTCTCTGTTGTCCTCTGTGAAGAGAAACGCGCCGTTGGTTTGGCTTTGTGGAGCGCGCTGGGGTTGGCAGGATGCCGCGCGCTCTCTGCGCCTCTCCTCTATAAGCGCAAGGGCTTTAGCTCCGCGGGAGCTGTTGAGTGCCTGCAGTGCTGAAACCAGGTCGCTGGCTATAATTAACAGCGGATAAGCTGATGGGAGCACGTCGTATATAACGGGCCCTGACTCCAGCAGCTCATGGATGAGGGAGGAGGACGGCACGGTCACATCCGCCCATGTGCGTCAGTCTGAAGCACCTGCGTCACACGCGCATCTCGCATTCATTCATGCTGCGGGGCAGCAAACGACCGATGAGCGCAAAAAAGAGTAGATTAGAGACCAGACAAGACCAAAAGAACCAGTTTATGACAATGCAGATTGACATGCAAATTAAGAGGTATAGAGATATGGGTATAGAGAGAGCTTTGAGGTATAGGCTACACATGCGTTGGCTGGGAGCGATAGATAGATAGATAGATAGATAGATAGATAGATAGATAGATAGATAGATAGATAGATATATAGATAGATAGATAGATAGATAGATAAATTACTTGTTATATTAGATTTCATATGTGCTTTTATGGATAAAGTGATATGGAGTATTGATGGATTGATATGGTTTTATAGGCAAAACTTGACAGCAATCTTGACAACAAGAAGGTATTGAAAATGTGTTGCCCAGGAAAAAAAGATACAGTTCATTGATGACCTTTTATGACACTGATGTCACCATGGGAACTGGCATTTTATGGGCCTTTTAGCAAACAATTATGAAACACAAAATCAATGATGAAACAACAAAAATACAAAGAGTTCTAAAATATTAAGCTTGAACTATTAAAAAGAACATTTTCCCTTCATTTTAGGAAGATTTTATAATACATTATTTGTCAAATACATATAGCACTTACCCCAATAAAAATATGGCATGCTAACCTGACTTTTATGAAGGAAAAAACAACCTTGTCCTGCAAAACACAGTTCATTATGCTCAGTTGTTTACCCAAAGCTGTTATAAAAAGGGGATAAAATACACATTTTAATTTGAAGGGCAGAATGTACTGAAATTATTCTAATTTAAGAAGGTCTTAAACTAGAGAGCAGCATATAAAACCACTGGGAGACAAAAACATTTTATTAATTCAACTTTTGATCAAAAACTTCTATCAGAAAAGCTACGAACCTTGTGACAGTGTTCCCATGTAATACAATAGGGATAATATTGTAATACACTCTTAATACTAAAGGTGCTTCACGATGCCATAGATTAAGAGCCTTTTTGTCTAAATGGTTCCATAAAGAACCTTTAACATCTGAAGAACCGTCCTGTTTGTGGCAAAATATGTTTCTTCAGATTATAAAAAGGTATGAGATGGTTCTTTAAAGAGCCTTTGACTGAATGGTTCTTTGTGGAACCAAAAATGGTTCTTCTATGGCATCGCTCTGAAGAACCTTTTGAAACAGTTTTATTTTTAAGGGTATATGTTAGCAGAAAAATACAAAGAGAAAAGATCAAATGACTAATTTAATTTTTTTCATTTGTCTTTGCTTGTTTCCTTTTGATGCCTCCTCATTTTTATTTTGCACTTACTATACTTACAAACATTGAGTCTGTATCTCTAGTGTATATTTATTGCATAAATCGAATCTTTACAGAAGTTGATGTATATGCTTATATGACTTTATATTCCTATATATATATATATATAGAGAGAGAGAAGTCGTGGCCTAAAGGTTAGAGATTCGGACTCGTAACCCAAAGGTTGTGGGTTCGAGTCTCATACCGGCAGGGATTGTAGGTAGGGGGAGTGAATGTACAGTGCTCTCTCCCACCTTCAATACCACGACTGAGGTGCCCTTGAGCAAGGCACCGAACCCCCAACTGCTCTCCGGGCGCCGCAGCATAAATGGCTGCCCACTGTGTGTTTACGGTGTGTGTGTGTGTGTGTTCACTGCTGTGTGTGTGCACTTAGAATGGGATAAATGCAGAGCACTAATTCCTAGTATGGGTAACCATACTTGGCCACATGTCACGTCACTTTTAATATGAAAAGATATATGAAATATTTTATACATATATAGACTAATGCTTATTTGACATGACTTAACATGACTTGACATGACTTCGATTATCTTGGGAGGTTGTGAGTTGCTCATGGTGAATGTGTTTTGTGCAGGAGGAGTGTGTTAAACAGCTCATGATTTGCCTCTGCAGGTCACACGCATGAGCTGCCTGTGTCAGTGCATACAGGCTGTCAGGTGACATGTGACCTCAAATAGCTTCATCAAATGAACAATGAACAGTGTTGGGGAAAGTTACTTTTAAAAGTAATGCATTACAATATTGTATAATTACGTTACTAAGTTACTTTTTATGGAAAGCAATGCGTTACGTTACTTTTGCGTTACTTTTTAAATATGAACAGGGCTTGATTGTTTTTAATATAAGAAGTTCTATTTATAGCAAATGTAAAAGCCCTTTC